GGAGAGGACCACCAGAATCAGCTGAGAGAAATGTTTGACTCTAGTGTAGGTCAAACACCTATGCAAAGAGAAAAAGAAAGAAAAGGATTTTGTAGAAAGAGCCTCAACACAATTCTGAGAAAGCCTCAGGCCAGTGGGAAATCCAGAGTGGAGCAGAGGTTGCCTGTTGGGCAAGTCCCCATTGTGCTAGAGTGGCCTGATTATGCTCAGTATTTGCGAAGGGCTGCCTGGGGTCAAGTGTGGTGGATTCATAGGTGTGGCAGATGGAGGCAGTCCCTTAATTGTGCTCACACAGAAGTTTCTCTTAAAGGAGAATTGATCAAGGTACTTCCAAGGCACCAAACCTGACTTCACACTTGACACATCAGCTTCAGTAAACCTCTTTTAGTAGTCTTCATATACTGTGATATCCTTTACCTCCATGCCTTTGTTCCCAATTCCTATTCCGTCTGCATGAACTCTTCCTGCCCCTGACTTTGCTTGCTCAACTACTTTTCACAGTTTGGGGGCTCAGCTGAAGAATAATCTCCAGAAACATTTCTTACCTCCCATCTCCCAAAGTGCCATCACTCAATCATTCCTTAACATCATTGAAGTGTTTTCCAAATTAAGATCGACTGTACGTGTTTTAGGTTTTATTTTTGACTAGACTGTAAACCTCTTGAAATAAAGGATTATTCAGTCTGTGCCCTCACACACCCACAGCAACTGGCACCCATTTTTGAATGAATGGACTGTACTCTCATTTATTTGTTGGAAGGGCAAGGTGACCCAGGTGAAAGAAAACAATATGAGAGGTGATACTTAGATTATTTAGTTTATGAGAGCTCCTAAACAATAGGAATTTGGGAATGACTTAAGAGAAAACAATATGAGAGGTGATACTTAGATTATTTAGTTTAGGAGAGTTCCATGGCATAACTATGAGATATACTTTAGTAATTGTGATTAATTAGGTTGATTTCAACTGAATGTGGGCTATCTGATGTATCAACAAACACTGCTTAAAGTAAAAAAACCTGTGTTCAATCCCAGGGTCCTTTCGTAGCTGAATGACCATATCACAACATCTCTGGCATTATTTTTCTCTTCAATAAGATGGAGGACATAATATTAAGAGCACAGAATTGTAGACCTATCAAACTGTCTGTAATGTATTCAACAACCTCTTGCTTTGCAGAAGTCTCTTTCCTGCCTCCTACTGTATTAACCTGCATCAAGAATGACTCACTATCCCACGATTGTACTGAAATGTAGATCACATAACTCCTTGTGGAGAGAATGGATGGTAGCTGTGATTTAAAAGCAGGGCTCTTCTAACAATTGTATATGCAGTGAGGAAGGTAAATGCATTATTTGAGGAAGTAGTTTTGAACTATATGGACTCCTGGATTATTTCAAGTTAAAATTTTTATAGAGTTCAACATTGGAAGTAATGGGAGATTATGTAGGACTAGAAATGACCATGAAGCACTGACTTGATGGAAGACTGGAATCCTAACCTCCTGTGCTTGGGGATGAATTATTGTGTGACTGCTGTCTTTAAGGCCATGCTTTCCAAGTGCCACTTCTTCATATGTAAGAATGAAATATCATTTTGTAAAATTAGGAGTGTTAATAAACACAATAAGTAAAATCACAAAACAAAATATTATACAAGTCAAATAAGCAAAATGAAAATAGGTGAGATAAAAAGAAATTAGTCTCATTTAAAAAGAAAAAGATAAAGTAAGAAATGTAGGCCTGCAATTGTAAAATGAACTAAAATGACAATGTAAGATGGAAATAAAAGATCAAAAGGATAAAAAGATTAATCGAGCTTTAAGAATACAAACAAGAGACTTACATATTTAAAATGTAAAATCTCAGTGGATTAAAAGAAGTCAGAATACTAGGAAAAAGCATAAAATCCTCTCGAAGGAGCGCACCTTTGTTGCAAGGGGGAGACCAGAAGCCTTGGCCTTGCTCTTTTTTTGGCGCCGGCCAGTTACCCACTTAAAATACTCTGACCTGGGAGGAGTATGGATCCAGGATGCTGGTTTGCCCTTTCTGGCCAGTAGAGGGCAGCCGCACAGAGAGGTGGGGACAGGCTGCGCTGATGCAGGAAAGAGGCTCTTGGTTGGTCTGAAATGACCCTGAAGTGTACTAGCCAAGACACCTGCCTAGGTGTTTCTTAAGTCATTCCCAAATAGTGTGGAAGCATATATTCCTCCGTCTCCCCACTTTGACATTTATCCTCTATATTTCTTGACCAGGTTTCAGTTCCAGGAGTTTGTTTCTCCTTGTTTTGTTTTGTTTTTACTTTTAATGTTAGCAACTGTAAATACAGTGTGTTTTTCAGCCCTTGAGCCCCTGGCTTCATTTGGCTGTGCATGCATGCCTATTATTTTTTAAAGCTTGTTTGAGATATGGCCAGTTGTTTGAACACACATATACACAAACAACCCAAACTCCCTCCCCATATATACACTCATCCTCCTCCACCCATTACACATTACCTGGACACACATAAGCCACGCACCACCCCCCCACATGCACAGAGACACATGCAGACATGTGTGCACTGCCCTTTACCTTTATGCCTTTTCTTTTCTGAAAGGCACGCAGGTCCTGAGTGGCTTCTCCCCACCAGCCTTTCACATCCATCATCACAATGCTTCCCATCTCCACCACAGATAGAGATGAGAATATTGTAAATTTATTGTTTCTTTCCCAGGGAGACTTTTAAAAAGTTTTTCCCCTGTAATCTATAAATAATGAAAAATTCCATTAGAAATGCAATGAACAGTGTAACTTTTATGCAGAGTTTCTCAAGCTCAATGTTTCAGAGCATTCGCTTTCATGACAGCCTAGGGCCATGGCAGGTAGGAAGATCACTCAGCTGACATTGCCACATTTCCTAAAGTGTGTTCTTGGGTTCTCATAGGTAATGCATGTGTTTTAAAGGGAACTCTCTCTTTGCTCAAATAGATTTGAGGAATGCTACTGTAAACTGACTCCTTCAATGCAGAACTTTCCTAAAGCATTTCCTGTGGTAATTTGCTTTGGGCCATGCAGTATTTCCAAAACATATTGGCCGAGGAAACTTATTTTTTTTCATCAAAACATTACACCTCTAAGCTCAGTGTTCCGTGGAAAATAATTTAGGAGGTGATGTTCTAATGACAGTAGTACATTTTCTTCTGTTCTGTAAAGAAACTGTTTTACAATTCCCCTTATTGAAGAGTTCAAATTTACCTCAGTATATTTCCATCAAAGTGGCACTTCTTTGTATTTTTAGAACAAGGTATAATAAAAAAAAATCTATGCTAAAGCCAATATATGATTCTGAAGAGTGTCCTGAAAACTCAAAGCAGAACGAATGATCCTCATTATGTTTTATGTGAATCTGAGTTTCTGTAAAAGAGTTCTTTGGAAATCAGTCATCTTTGTAAAGGAAAATAGTCTAATTATATTTTGATCGGGAGTTTCTTTAATTAGAGTATCAGTACTTAGTGCATGTTACATGATAAGATGATCATAAATCAACCAGCAGCAGTGGAAAGAGAGTGAGAAAGATAATTCAAAGGGATCCCCAGCTCCGGTACAGACAGCCAGTGTGGCAGGAACACCAATGTTCTCCTCTCAGCCTTTCTTTGTGAATTTTCCATGTAATGATAGATGCTGCAAAGCCATTCACTGTACTGAGGCCTCTTCATGTTTTTTTGACACTGTTTGGAGGATTACTAGTGCATAAGGCACAGGGTCTGAGTCATACTCTTCTGAGTGAAGTAACAAATCATCCTCTAAGATCTATGCAAAAATGTGAGGTTGGTTTCTATGTCAAAACTTGGCACAGAAAAGCTTTCTCTTCTGTGTTTCCATAACCTCGTGCATCTGCCCTCTCAACTGAAGAGGGAGCTTTGACCAATGAGTAATTTACTAGGAAATTCAAGATTCCAGTGGACCTCAGACCTGGTCTATGTTTAGTGTATGCTTCTTTCTTTCTAAGTTCCCTCCTGTTTGCACTCATTCCTCAGAACCTCATAGCCCTTGTGCTGATAGGATCTCTGCTATGAGATATGTGCATTATCACAGGGGAATCAGAGTCAGAGTCACAGATGCTTTGAGCACAATTCTCAGCAACTACATTAGGATGTTTTGGAGGGTTGGACCCTCATCTGATGATGCCCAGATCCTCATACAGACTGATTTGTCTCTTGAAATCGGGATGCTTGTTTCTGTATCTAGACATCCTCACCTACATGCTTCCAGGCTCCTCAGACTTAGCAGGGGCAAAGTGAAGCTTAAGTTCTCTGCAACACCTTCGTTTAAGGAGACATCTCTATTTTGCCCCTAATCTAGGCTCCTTCATAACTAAGCTCTTTATCATACTTTCAGTTAATTGTGACAAGTCTCACATACCCAACACAATGAATCCTTTTCTAGAACACTATTTTTTTTGATGTAAAATATATTCATTACTAGTGGGAAGTAACCTGTACAGTATACATCTGTTGGATGCTATTCATCAAGGTTTCAAGAGGCATCCTGCCAAGGGACTCTCCACTTCTCATGAAGTAGATATAACGTGTACACCGGTGAGCGCTGATGCATCCTTCAGTTGTTGATTACAAATCATGTTCTTGCTCTGGGGCTCTAAAAATCTCCCATAATCCTTCAGAGTGGTACACTGAAATAAATGTGCGTTCCTTGAAGCCTACCAATGTAAAAAGAAATAAGAAAAAAAAAAAAGCTGGTGTCACAACCTCATTGGAAAGCCCTTTGGTTGAGACAACCTTTTGCAAGAACACAGCCTTGGAACGAGACGTGCTGTTCTTCTCCCTGAAGATTAGATTTAGGGGAGAACATCTTAGGGACAGTCGCTCCTTGGTCAAGGCCACTTGGGCATTTGTCTAGGCCACCAGCCTGCCGCTCCTCCATGGAGAGCCTGGTTTAGAGAACAGGGCGCACAGGCAGTCGTGTCTTCTCTCCTAATTCTTTCATGCTGCCGCTTTCAGAATAAGATAATCCTGGACCCCATGACGTTCAGCGAGGCCCGCTTCCGGCCGTCGCTGGAGGAGAGGCTGGAGAGCATCATCAGCGGGGCGGCGCTCATGGCCGACTCGTCCTGCACCCGCGACGACCGGCGCGAGAGGATCGTGGCCGAGTGCAACGCCGTGCGCCAGGCGCTGCAGGACCTGCTCAGCGAGTACATGAACAACGTAAGTCCTGGGGCTCTGGGGCTCTGGGGCTCTGGGGCTCGGGCTGCCCGGCCTGGGCGAAGCCTCCTGGCTTGGAGGAGGGCGTGTGTTGCAGGGAGAGAGGACAGGCCTTCCCCGGAGAGACGGAGAACCGCTCTGCGGGACTGGGCCCTGCATGGCTCCGAGTGCCTTGCTGGCCTGGAAGAGAGCCGTGCGACCCACTGGCTAGGGTGACTTGGCCGCTGGCTTGCATGATCCCATGGTCATTTGGATGGCTGGCCTTAGATTGAGGGTAAGATTGCAGTGGGTTACAAGTGGACGGTGGATGGAAAGGAGGATATAATGAAGTCGTCCTAGGAAGCGCACTGTTCCAAGCCAAGGATGGCTCTAAGATGCTAATCTTCATCCTTAAAAGGCATTCGTAAGCATAACAGGTTTTCAAATGTTGGTACAGGCTCAGTCGAAACTGTTGCAACGGCGGTGAAACTTGGAGGACGTATTGATTCATTGTGCAGTTGGAAGTTCTTATGAGAATTAACCTCCAGGTTTTCAAACGGGTTATTAGTGGTACCTAGTGATAGTGCAGCACAGACAATAGCTGTCCTGCCCTACAGTTACGAAGTGTGGCAGTTGTTAACATACCTGAAAACTACTCAAAGAAGTTGAAATCCTTATTCTTTGTTTTGAAAGGCACTGAATTATGTTTGTATTGATTTGCTACCCTCATTCAGCTGAACTGATGTTTGTGGTGCCCCGTGCTTGCAACCATGAATGATCTGGAGTTTCTCCTGTCCTGGACTCCTGGGTTTGAGAGAATTCGGCATAAAGTGGTAAAATGTAGGTAAAGTGAGGTCTTGACACCACATGTTGAAGGAGTGCTCTGTGTAGTGGTCAAGTAGGGAGCAGGACACTGAAAAATCTGCACACGACTTTTGAACCCCATGCTGGGTCCTTTTAGAACACCATAAGGCAAACTGAGAGGCAATGCAGCCAACCCATGTCCACCCTCCAACCGAGTTCTACTTATGCCACCACCTCCCCTAACACCCGCCCCACCCCCCACCCCGCCTCAGCCCCAGCCCAGAATGACATGCAGTCCACTGGTCAAGCTGGGAGTCAGCATTGACTGAACAGTCCTGCCCCCTCCAGACTCTTCAGAGACCTTTGGTCTAGAAAACAAAAAGATTTTAGAGTGCCCTACAAACAGAAAACCAAGAATTTGTCTCTTTTATGTCAACCTTCAGATCCTTTGATTTTTGGGAGATTTTCCCATTGTTAGCACACCAAGAATAAGATGTGGCTGTCTCACATGGTATCCAGCTGCTTATGGGAATTTCTCCACAGGACACTGGCTGGCTAATACTTTGTGTGATTTTGGTCTATGGGTGCTGTGCTGGGTAAAGCTAGAAATGTTGACGGCCATTGTCTCTCACGCTGAGTAAATCTTCTGAATAGCAGATTTAACAACAACAACAACAAAAAATGCTTGTAACATCTGGGATTCTGTGTGTTTGTTGTTTTTAACAGAATAGCAACAGGCTACTTACTTGTATGTGGAATTTGGTTTTATATTAAGGCATGCTGGTATTCCTATCAATGAAGAATTATTGCCAACGGAAGAAGTAGAACCAGCAGAGATGACAGTGATGGTTAAGATGTCAATATAAATATTTCAGAAAAAAAAAAGTATGTTCACATGAATAGTAATCACAGAACATGATTAAACAAGACTTGATAGAGATCTGACATGTAATTTTCAGTTTGGTATCTACAGTCCTGTCAAGCAGAAGTTTTTCCTTTCACCGTAAACTCATATGGATCAGCAGAGCTGATGGGTTTTTGTATTTTATTGACTCTCTGTGCTTATTTTTCTGTTCACAACCTTGTGATACAGGAATGTTTTGTATTTTGTATTATAAAAACTTGGTTTCTACTTTGATATGGTTACAGATAATACATAGGTGGGCTTAGTGCTTAAATTTCAAGTGCAGATTCTATTCACTTTGAACTGTCAGGATCAAAGGCTTAAAATAAAACACCTCCTATTGACTTTTATGTAAACTGTATAACTTCACTCTTCTTTGGTGATTTCAAGGTAAAATTGGATGCAGCTCCATCATCTCTGTCCAGCGCACTCATTCCTACTGTCAAAATATCAATTGATGTTTATTTTGGTATAGCATATATTAATATAAAACCCACATACACATCTATGCCTTGACTGACAAGTCTGTTGTTTTGCACAGCCACCAATAAATTGGTTGGTTGTGCCTACGATGTTTGTTATATTTCTTTTTAAAGTTTGTAAGCTCTGGGAGTAAATGTATTATCAAATTATCACTCTGCATGTTTTCATCTTAATAAGCTAAGCAATTGTAGGACAAATAATTTATTAGATTGAGAAGAAAAGATTTAAAAATAGGCATAACTGATACTTCTGGATTCTAAATATTTCCTTATCTTTCCCTGATGAAGATTTGATTTATAAAGCTCACTTATAAGTAGAGCTGTCCTAAAATCATATAAATGCCAAGCGGTATCCACTGCAGGGGAATGGAGATTGGGAAGAAGAGCTGTATACAAAGTGATTAGGAAAAGGTGTCTGCAAGGGCCACGAGCCGTAGGTTGGCCATATGAGTTACACTGAGCTCAGTAGGTTATCCGTTCTGAGTTAGGTATTTCCACAGAAGTATTTACAGATCAATGTGTGTGTAACAAAAATTGGGCACTTCCAAGAAACTGGTATGAGAAAAAAGGGCTGGGTGAACAGATACATGTGGCAGAAGTGATCACGTTATGGCAGTGGTAGAAAAGAAAAGCCTTGGGTGGCCTTGCTTTTTAAATTTGATGATGTAAGCCCAAGTGAGAAGATGCTTTAAAAAAAAAAAAACATTTAAATAGGCAATCACTATTGTACGTATGTGAAGACTAATAATGGGTAGAGAGAGACTCTTTCTAAAGGCTGTGTGGCCTTTGGATGAGTGCCATCAGGGTGGCGCTTGGAGTATTATGCCATGTACTATAAATAGTTCCAAATTATAATGAAGACATAAACTTTTCTCTGTAACTTACAATTTTAGGCAGTTTTTCCCCCTGTGGCAGTAAAACTTTTTTCATCAAAAACAAAAAACAAAACAAAACAAAACAAAACAAAAAAAAACCCTTAAAAGTGACCCCGTGACAGGCAACAATTAAATATGGTATTTTATTGATAAGGATTTTATGATAGATTTGAATTTAGAATATTCATTCAATAAATATGTATTGTGTGCCTGACCATTTTATGCCAGGCACTGTTCTAGGCTTCTTGGATGTAGAAGGGAACAAAATAGATAAAATTCTGTTCTGATGGCAATTCCACTCTAGTTGGGGGCAACAATAATTTGAGCAAGGGTTATCTCAGATGATGACTTGTGACACAGGGAAATATAAATCCTAGGAGACAGGGAGCATGGGGTGCAGCTGTAAGTAAGGATGGCCTGCAAAGGGTTCATTGAAAAAATACTTTTGGCTTAAGACCTTTTGGAGATGAGGGAACAAAGAACACATGAGGTGGAAGGAGCAGGGAGGTTCAGCCCCTGGCTGTGTGTGGGTCCCCGGACCTGAGAAGCCTTCATGGGAAGGCAGTCAAGGCTGATGGGAGTGAATGGGGGCCAGCAGGAGACAGAGTCTGCAAGGGTACAAGGCATTGGACTACCCAGGGCCTTGTGCAGTGTTGTGTGGAATATGTCTTTCACTTTAATGGAATGGAGGATTCTTGGAGAGTGTTGGGAAGAAAGTGCCATGACTAAGCTCCCCAGATAGGCCATGGGAGTACAAGGGGTAAAAAAAAGTAGGGAGGCAGGAGAGTGGGCACTGAAATAATTCGTGAAAGGATGGTGACTTGGCTCAAGTGGTAGCAGAAGTGAAATACTCAAATTCTAACTGTATTTTAAACAAAATTGGCTTATAATGTGGCTGGTGAGAAGGATGTGTCTGTGTCATGAACACAAAATGCATAGCAATCAGTGTGAATGGTGGTTAAAGTGGTAACAGCTCCCTCTGTGGTATCTTCAGTTGGTATCTTCAACAGGCTTTGCAGCATGGAAATTTGTGATTTACTCAAATGTGACAATTTGTAAAAAAATAACTTCACTTTGCAGTGCCGGGATACTCTGCTAGACAGATTGCCTGTGAAAAGGGAGTTAAATAGAAAAATTTTGTTTCAAAGCTGTATCATCAAAAATACCTAACTATGGTTCTCATTCTTATAAATATAAAAGACCAGAAAAATATAAAACTCTAAGTACTAAACCTAAGTGCAGAACAATAATGAGATGTGTTAAGCCATTATTTCTTTGTGCACAATTTGCTGTTAGGCCTTGATGGGAATGTGTGATAATCAGGTATGCCTGGACCTTGTGCGTTGTGCTATGCAGTCTGGTTCAGTTTTACATAAATAGGCAGTCTGTGTTGCTCTAAAGTGTTTTTTTTTTTTTTTAGATTAATGCAGAACTACCAATTTTTAAGACCATCAAAGTTTAACAGAGAATCAGGTGTCATAAATTAATGACTTGCTGGTCTCTGCTGTGTTAAAATGTGGCTGGTCTTTTTTATCCTATTCTTGTAAGTAGCTAAAAAATACTTATATTTTTACAAAATGTTTGAATCCAACATTTTTCAAACCTCTTGAAGCACCTAAGTGGATTCCTGGGGACATTTTGTAAACCACTAATGTGATGCACATGTTAAAAGCACAGGAGGACAAATTAATGTAGGAGAATATATACATATTACAAGTACCTGATAGATCCAGTTTATGAAAGTTGAGGTCTGAAATGCTGTCTTAAAAGGTTTCAGTTGTAGGTCCTCTACTGCGCTAAGGCTCCAGAATACACCACTATATTAGTAACACAAGAAGTGATATCCAGAGCGGAGGGGACTCTGAACATAGTGAACTTGCTATTTTGTTTTCTAATGGTGCAAGAGAAATGTATGTTCGTCATAGATGAAGAATAAGAAGTGGGCAGCCCGGGTGGGTC